CTGACAAAAGTTAGGAAATATCCTTTCACTTTCTTGAATTTGAACTAACATGCTTCTGCTCTGACTATGAAAAAAAAAATATGTGTCTGGACACTGAGAAGGCTAGAAGTTTCTGTTATTGAAATCAGAGGAGCAAAGAATTGAAGGAGGGAGGGAGAAAAGGAAGGGATAGAGTGAAAGAAAGGGAGATGAGGAAACAGAGAAGCGAGAGAAAACAAACAGAAGAACAAACCCCCTCAGCATATTGGGTGAGTTTGCCCTGCAGTTAGCCATAATAAGGAGTTAATCACGTGAATCTTGGCTTTCTCACAAAGTAAATATCCCTAAACAAACCCCAGTTGTCAGCAACAGCACAGAAGTCCTGCATTCTAAGCCCTGCCTTCATTCACATCTGAAGCATAAAACTATAAATAATTAATATCTACTCTTTTAATTCACAAAACTTTGGCCTAGTTTGTTTTAAGGAGTAGGTAACTAAAGCAATTTCAGTCCAAATCAAAATTTCTCCATGTGGTGTACAAATGCTTTGCTATTGTTGGTATGTCTAAGCCATGATGTGAATTACCCTACAATTCTAAACCATGATGAAAATGCTTTATATATATGATAATTAAAACTTCCCTGTTTTATTATCCAACTCATTAAAGAGATATGATGATATGATGACATGACATAATACTTCTGCATAGAGTGGTGATTTGAGCATATATTACTATCATTGTGAAAAATCTGAGATCTGAAGAGATTAATGCCTTAACATAAAAAATTTAATACCTAATACTTAAATTCATATCTTCAGATTTCTGGAAACATTCTTTCCCTTATTCCTCTCTCAGTTGTGCCTTCAGAGATTTATAGCACAGGTCACACTAATTTAGATGTCTTAGGATTGGAGCTATGAGTATTCTTGGGAAACATTTATATCTCAACTGTACCCTGCTACATCTCTGATGCCTGGTCCCTCAAATGTCCTCTTAATATGTCTCTCTTGATGTACCAAAGACTTCAATGAGCTCTGATCTTTGATCGGGGCCTTCTTTTCACCAGCATTTTATTACCAGATACATTTTTCTCAAGCTAAGTATGACCATGTTTCCTGACTAGCAATACTTAACAGTCTTCAAACTGATTACCATAGCGATGAATTCGTTCTGAATATCTTATTCTGTCTCTGTGATATTTCAGTCAGTACAATAATCTTCTGAATCATGAAAACAATGACCTTCCAATACAGAATTAATACCCACCTGACTTCAATCCCAACTCATTTGGATTTATAGTAATAATTCATGATATTAAAATATGTCATTAAACAGAATTTATTGAAATTCTTTTACTAATAAAGTTGCATGATGATTGAGTAATCACATGATTCACACAGCCATGCACAAGTTAAAAACCTGTAAATTAAATTAACATTTGATCTCATACCATCAAAATGCACCCCAATGTACATAACAAATTGCACTATAATAAATAAAGTACTATATTCTAAGCCCAGTTCCAGAGATAAGTTGATTATATAATCACTGGATACAGAATTCAATAAAGCCTTAAAGCTAAAGTTAGCTCTATGTAAACAAAGCCTGGTAGAGTTACAAAGTAATGCCATTTAAATTGGCTTCCAAAGGCCAGCAGGAGCAGTGTTTGCCTTAAGGATTATGTTAAAATATCCTGAAAGAGCAATTGAAGCTTGGATGGTTGTAACACTATTTTGACATTCTCAAAATGGCATGAAGTTTTGAAAAGAAAAATCATGATTTTACGTATTAGATTGGCCCATGTCAAGGAGCCAATGATTGATTTGTTTGGTCCACAGAATTGTCGAATACTGACCATTTTAGTTCACAGATGGAAAGTATTTTCTAAATTATCCGTTTCTGTTTTTGTGATTTCATTACTCTCTTGTGGCTGCAGATAATAAAGCATTAAAAGGTGTTTAAAACAATGGAATTATATTCCCTCATACAGGTCCTGATTTGCTCCAAGTCAGACTATGAACACAGTGTTTCTTCTTGGAAAGACTGAGGGGAAAGTCACACAGCCCCCCTCTTGGGCCCTGCTGTGAAAAGACACGCTTGGCCATCCTTGACATGCAGGCCCCGCTGCCTCCGCTAGCTTGTGGGATTCTCTACATGCGTCTTTGTGTTTCTGCACCCGAATCTCTCTTCATTTATACAAACATCAATTATTGTACCACTCTGGCCTCATTTTAACTTGATTCTATCTGTAAAGGCCATATTTCAAAATAAGGTCACATTTACAGGTGCTGTGGATTAGGACATAAACATGTATTTGAGATGTACAAATTGCATCATATCATTCATATTGAGAGGTATATGCTAAACCATTTTAACCTATTTTTATATTTTAAATATGAATAACATAAATCAGGGGGCTTCTGAAATAAATATACTTCTCTTTAAAAGGAATTTACATGTAAAATGTATGAAACCTTTCCCTAACACTCAAATCTGAGGTCCGTGCCACATACATTAGAGTCTCCGTAGCCTGTGCCATGTCTTCCCAGCGCTGTCCTCTGCCACAGTTTCCCTATGGATAACCCTTCAGCATAAATGCAGTCTGCTTATAATTCCTCCGCTTGTAATGTCCTTAACGTCGATGATTCTGTCCTTCCTCCTGCAATGTGCTTTAGGTTCAGTTTCCTCATGCCCCGACATTATGCATTTGTAACTTGGTTCAAAGTCTCAACAAAGCTGCCATCTTTTTTTTTTTCTTTCTGACACTTCTACGAATATCACCTAGGCACCATTCCCACCCTCAGACACCTAGTAAGGTGAAACTCCAAAAGCTTACCGTTCTCGCAGTGCCTTGACATCGGAAACAGTGTACAACCGTTTCAGATGTCAGTGTGGTAGGGTAGGGTTGCAGCCACAGCGTTACTCCCCAGAAGTTGCAAGGCGCTGTGTGCATTTTACTCTCCCGGAGGAGTTCCAAGGTAATGCACTGGGTAATCCCAGACAATACCTCTTTGTGAACAAACTGTTTTGTAGTCCTTGCTGTTTTCTTTACACGCTCTTTCTTTCCGGAGGAAAACTGTAGGTTCAGGATTTAGAAAGATCTGCTTGGCTCAAAGTTTCAACCTCACTTTCTTGGAGCAGCCCATAGCATGCAGGAACCTGGCAGGGGGAGGGAGCTAGAAAAATAGAACACATCCATATATTTTTAGATCTTGACAACCAAAATAAGGTTTTACGTGTTACGTTGTACAAGATAAGGAGAGCGTGTTTTATGAGAAAGGCCCAGTGGTTAACATGACAGTTGCTAGTCCACACTTTCCAACCAAGATGTCATAGATTAACTTTCCAGGCTGAATAAAATTACAATATTGTTCTATCTGATTTCCTCTTTCCAAGTGATAAGAGATATTAAGCTACACATTTTACCCTCTTGGATCTGGAAAATGGCGTCCTTACATATTAGCATATCTTTGATTCTAAGGATTTTTAGTACTTTATGAAATATTAGATCGCTTTTCTCTGTATTGAACTCTCTATATTGTCCCCATGCTCAGCTTGTCATTGTCCACCATAGTTTGAGGTAACCTTCCATTTCCTCCATGTTTTTGTTTATTCATATTTACTGTGCTCTGGATAAATAATCAAATTAGGTTCTTGGGTTCCAAAGCTACTTAAATTGCTTTAGCTATTACATAACCACATTTGCCTATTTTAGCTAAATTCCTATGTTATGCTTTAATGCCATTGCACTTGGTGGCTGACTTCTCAAGTCTATGTTAAGTGAGGGATAACTTGTTACATGAGGAGAAAAGAAATAAGGTATGACAATAAAAATAAAATTGAATATTGAAGTAAACTCAGGAAGGTTATTATTATACTTAAGATAAATTCAATATGTATAGAATTTCCAAAACTATAAAAAGTATCAACAGGGATCTGAGATTCATATCATAAAGCCAATAATATAATTTAGAAAACTCTAGTTTATACACTTAGTAAATGCTTCATCTTTCAAACCAGTGTGCACATGTGTGATGTGAAGAGTGTAATGTAATTCAGAGGCCCCTTAAACATGCTTAGTGTTTGGTACATTGTATAGGTGGAAACCCTCCTGTTTTGATTTTTGTTTTTTTTTTTAAATTTGTTTGTAGAAATCACAAAATCACAAATTTACTTTAGACATGACTCAAGTTTAGCTCTGATAGTCTCAGATACACTAAAACTATAAGCTACATCATTTTAGCTGGCCTGACACCTTATTAGGAGACTATGTCTTAGTGTCTGCATGTCTCTTGGTAGATAAAAATCTGTAACAGCTTCAGGTAATAATCTGAAGAACTCTGAAGCATTCCCTGCTCCCATGGAATTCTCTACGTCTCAGAAAAAAATTAAATGAAGTTACTATTTGTTCCAGAATATTAAATATCTTTTCATCATCTAAACAAAAGACTCTTTTGAGTGTATTTTAGTATTATTTGCTTTTGCTCTTATTGAAAATATATTATAAGGAGGAGAATCATGCTTAACTAAAGATCTGGATAGGTTAAGCAAGATTTCCTTTTTCAATTAATTTATCAAGATTTAATTATTAATTAGTATGAATAAATCAAATCTGACTTTATATATATATATATTTCATCTATTCTTTACAGCTACTACTTCCTTACATTGGAAAACTGAGCAATTACTTAAATTAACTGATTTTATGCATTTCTGAAAACCTTCATGTACTTAAAAATCTAATGATTCCTCGGTGTCTCAGGAATATTATGCATTAAATTTTGCTGAAAAATCATATTTATCAAGAAATGTCATTGCGATTTTTTTTAAACTGACAACATCACCAAAAATCATTATGTAAGATTCATATAAATGTATGTGTGTTTTTCATGAGTATGTCAAAATAACATGACTCCTTCCTGATGTATCATGTTCTATAATTGCCTTACTGTTTTACAGGTATGACAGAATTTAAAATGCATTTTTTTATGCATGTCTGCTTTTCTTTCTTATACTCAGGTTCTTTCTTTGGGAGCAGATGTCTTGCCAGAATACAAGCTGCAGACACCACGTATCAACAAATTTACAATATTGCACTACAGCCCTTTCAAAGCAGTCTGGGATTGGCTTATTTTACTACTGGTCATTTATACTGCTATCTTCACCCCCTACTCTGCAGCCTTTCTCCTCAATGACAGAGAAGAACAAAAAAGGCGAGAATGTGGCTATTCTTGTAGCCCTTTGAATGTGGTAGACTTGATTGTGGATATTATGTTTATTATAGACATTCTAATAAACTTCAGAACAACCTATGTAAATCAAAATGAAGAAGTGGTAAGTGATCCTGCCAAAATAGCAATACACTACTTCAAAGGCTGGTTCCTGATTGACATGGTTGCAGCCATCCCTTTTGACTTGCTGATTTTTGGATCAGGTTCTGATGAGGTAAGAGCTGCTTAAGAATTTTATTTTTTGAAAGACTGCAATTGTAAAAGTAAATCTACATTAACTAGATAAAAAAAAATAGTCCTACATCTCACAGATGAAATTTCATTTACACCTGGAAATGTTGTAAAATGAAATGAAGACATTTTTCTGTTGTGAATAATTGAAATTACTTCTATATTTGCTAAGAGATACAAAAATACTATCCATGCTGTAGCCAACAATTTAAATTTTAAAACACATCCACAGAGCATTTTACTCTAGTGAGTAAAATATGTACAAAGAAGTTCTTGAGTGCAAAGCTATCCAACATTAAGGCTGTTTTCTTTCTTACATCACTAATTAGGGTGTGGAACAAAGAAAGACTTGTTCTTTGTTCAAACTATAAAAAAGGGCACCTTATGAAATGCCTTTATCAAAAACTCTTTCACTTCCACCTCACATTTCAGAAAATATCAAATGCATAATGCTAATACCTCATAAAGTTGGAAAGCTTACGTAAATATGATAAGTTTGGATGTATTGAGTACATTTTCTGAACAGTGCGTCCATAAAAATAATCAGATCTTCAAAGGAATCTTTGGGACAGATTCAGTTAGTGTCCCCATTACTTAACCATCACTAACTGTTATAGCACATAAATATTTATATAATGAAAAGATTTACAGGAGATATGTGCCTTAGTTTCCTTTCTGAGGCTTTGATAAAAATACATGGACAAAAAAAACAAATTAGAGGATAATGGGTCTACTTTAGATCCCAGGTTCCAGGTTCTATTCATTCTATCAGTGTGGGAGAGTGAAGACTTCGGGAAGTTGAAGCAGCTGGTCAGAGTTACAGCCAAGAGCAGAGGAGAATGAGTACATATATCCTTACTGCTTAATTGCTCTCTCTTCCCTTATACAATGATGCAAACCCAGGAAATGGTGCTACACACTTCAGGCTGGGTCTCCCCACGTCAATAAATGCATTCAAAAACAATTCCCCTACAGACATACCTCAAGCCAATGAAATAATCCCTCGTTGAAGCTTTCTATATTTTATCAAGTTCACAATTTAACAATTAAAACTACCCGTCATGGGAGGTATAAAAGTAACTCCAAGAAATATGATGAATTTTTTTTAAAAAAAATCAGTGCCCCAAAGAATTCATCATCATCTTTTGCTTGGTTTGTTAATTTGCATATTCCAAGAGAAAAAGAGATCTCAGCAGATACATGCTTCCTAGCCTCTGAAGGCTTCAGAACAAAAGAATATTTGTCATCCAGGGGGAATTAGAACACTTAGAATTGTCTCTGTTTCTACAGAAAGGCTTGTCTAAACTGTAGATTAGTTGAGCTCAGGACAATGGAATATGATGAAGTCCTAGCACCCTTTCATCATCTGTAAAAGAATGCTAATAAAGTTATCTTCCTTGTTAATTTCTTATTTTATTTGGCATTAGAATGAAATAACCCCTATGAAATAGGAAAAAAAAGTCATTAAAGATCTTTTAAAGGTGATTCCTAATTTGGGTTGGAACTAAAACACAAGAATATAAAACACTTCATCATTGATATTTATATTTGAATTTCTTATAATGGGGGATACATGCAATTATATAACACAAACTTTTCCTGACGAACTAGAATAAAAATTTCACTGTTTCAAAAGTGTGAACACTGTGTATTAGTGTGTATCTGTGTGTGCGTGTGCATTAACTATCCATACACACACTAGCAGTGACTCAAACATTGAAAAACAAGTGAATAGGCAAATAGAATATTAAGAAAAGTTATATTCAATCAATAATAATAATAAAGTGTATATTTAGAAATATTTAGAAATGTTAGATTATTTTCATTTCAGTTACTGCACATTTTGAAAAATGTAAAATTCCTTTAAAATACGTAGTTCAGATAAATCAGTACTAGAGCAAAATTCTGTTTAATAAACCAAGGGACAGTTTAAGAGAGTCACATGACTGTGGACTGAAATTGTCTAAGGAAAAGAGGGTGAAAAAGAAAGTGAAGAATTTGAAGCTTACAGAGTGAGGAGACTCCTGGAACGAATAATAGATATCCCAATGTTTGGTTTTACATATGTAAATTACCAGCAAAACACTAAGAAAATTATTTAGGTAATGCAATATTTTGTTGGAGACTCTTCTAGGTATCACAATGTATTCTGATCTCATTCTTCTAAGAGGTAACATTAAAATCTAATACTGTGTTTCCCATAAATTTTAGAAGTAAAATTAACTACAAAATTATTTCATCTAACACGAGGCCTGGGAAGTTATTATTCCAGTTTTATAGATTAGGCCATTAACTGGCTTCCTGGACCCTACACTGCACATCATTCCTATTCAATAGCACCATACCCTATCTCCTTCATCAACAAATGTTTACTGAGTAGCTTTCAGAGCAGCCAGCATTATCCCAGATTCAGAAGTCAAGCAGCTAGATATGTTTCTGCTCTATACTCCCATAGAAGAGCAAATGCTGAAATGACACAAATTGGGTGGAAACAATAATATGTCATTTTCTAACAGACTTGGAGATTAGGAAAGGCCACTAAAAAAAAGACTGTTTGAGTTGAGGCTTACAAGAAATTTACAGTTGCCGGGCAGTGGTGGCATTTGCCTTTAATCCCAGCACTCGGGAGGCAGAGGCTGGCGGATCTCTGGGAGTTCGAGGCTAGCCTGGTCTACAAGAGCTAGTTCCAGAACAGGCTCCAAAGCTACAGAGAAACCCTGTCTCGAAAAACCAAAAAAAAAAAAAAAAAAAAAAAAAAAAGGAAAAAAGAAGAGAGAGAGAGAGAGAGAAGAAAGAAGGAAATTTATGTCATGTAAGTCTATAATACAGAACACTTCAAAAAAAACTATTTGGAGCATTTCCTCAGTTGACTGTCCGGGTTGAGATGTTAGAAGACGAGCAAACATGCCAGTGACAGCAAGGCTGAGTCAAAGTCAGAGATGAGGTGCTAAGATATGAGAACTAAATCACAAAGAAGCGTAAGATCTGTTTATTGTGGCTTAAACAAGACTCTCTGGAATGGAACTGATTTTGATTGACATATAAAAGATTGCATAGACCGTTCTCTGTGGTGAGCAGTCAGGAGCAAGGGGCCCAGACGAAAGCCCAGAATGTGATGTGTGGTGGACGAGAAAGCAGCATAGACACATGACACCATAGAGATGTAGGAAGTAGATACATTTATGGAAGGTTTTAAATGCCACCCTATCGTAAATTGTTGGTTAATTAAATACCCATGAAAAAAATAAAAGTAAAATCTGAACTAACAATGATTCAAAACATATTTTGTAGTTCACGCATTGAGTTATTAAGGAGGGAGTAGGGATGAGAGAGAAGGTACGCTTAGAAGCAACTTTCATAGATGGTAATGTCTTTATCCCGATGGTAAAATCATGGGGAGAAACAGGTGTACTGTGCAGGAGAAAAAAAGTGTAAAGTGAGATGTTTTGGCCATCATAAGTATGAGATGCTTATTAGTCCTACAAATACAGATGGCTGGGAAACAAATTAGGCAACCTGTGAGTAGCTAGAAAGACACACATGAAAGAGAGAAGACAGCCTTTAAATTAAAAATTAGATAGAATCACAGTAATGGGTGGTTTGAACGAGTCCTTTTCTATCAGAATTGCACATCAATTTCTGTGTAAATTTTTTAAAAGAGTCTATAGACCAGACTTAGCTGTACATGCCCATGTATTGAGCATATGGGAGAAGAAGGCCATCTTGGGCTATTTAACAAAACCTCATCTCAATACATACATACAAACATACATACATACATACATACATATATACATACATACATATATGCATACATGCGGGAAGATTCACATTTGGTGAACTTTAAAATCAGATTTTCTGTTTTAAATTTTAGGGACAACTGTACTGTTTAAACATATGTAATGTGGTGGCCATATCTGGAATACAAACACCCAGGCTTTCATGTACTCGTGAAACTACATGCAAATATGCATGGGCAAATTAATGAAGATGTTAATTTCTAATGATTAAAAGTAGGAACAATTTTTGCTGAGCTATTTGAATGACTTTTTCTTACATGTTAGCATCATCAATTAACATAAAGAAAATATTTTTTCTCACTGTCAATTAACTATTAATATCATCCTTTACCTGAACGTTAAACTATCTTATTTATGGTCAACTCCTAAATCTAATATTGTAACAATACCATTTTATCTGTAAATCACACATACTCACAATAGGTGGATAGCATGACTATGTGGTTTTACTAAAGAAGACACAATTACTCTTATTTTTCAAACTAACATTACTTTTTTACTATAATTAAATGTGATTAGTAATAACTAGATGCACTCCTTTACTGTTGCAAACATTTTGAAGAATTTGAGCGCAGGGGATTACTCAGCTTGCCTATATTATTTCTGTCTTACTGATGCTGGTATCATCTAGAAAGAGAAATAGTTCTGTGGTTCCTAACTTTGGCTTCCTCAAGTGTGACACTGCCACAATAATTTGCATCAATATCATTGATGCTGAAGGACAATATCATTCCTTTTGTCTCCACAAAATCAGTTTTGATTATCTGCTTCAGATTTGCCCATATTTGGATATCCATGGCAAATTTTCAAGACATTAACACTTAGGACCTAGAGAGCTCTACTTAGAAACACAATATTATCTCCTTCCTCCCCTGATAATTAAAATTCTAGCTTTCAGTTATTTGCTTTGTTGACCTCTGATTCATGCCTTAGTGATATTTTTTAAATGAATAGTAAACACAAGAAGGAAAGGTTTTAGAACCAAAATAACTAGAGGTTCTTTGAAGCAAAATTCCAATAGGAAAGTGGAATGTCTGCTCACAAAAAAACGTTTCACTCATTACGCTAACGAACTGTGGAGTGAACATACAGAAAACATTAGTAGTCTTCTGTAGAAATTCTGATTATATTGTGAGCTGTTCTCCTTGCCTTTGATCTTTATGCTAGATGCCATGAATTTCCT